GAAGGTGCGCGATCGTGAAGAACGCGTTCGGCGCCTCCCTCGAGGTGATCATCTGAGGCTTCGGCGCCCCAGCGGCGCTACAGAGCCTATATCGAAAGGCCATCGAAAGGAGGAGGAGGACGAGGAGGGGAGGAGGAGGAGGAGGAGGAGGAGGAGGAGGACGAGGAGGAGGAGGAGGAGGAGGAGGAGGAGGAGGGGTAGGAGAAGGGGGAGGAGGAGGAGGAGGAGGGAGGAGGAGGAGGAGGAGGAGGAGGAGGAGGAGGAGAAAGAGGAGGAGAAAGAGGAGGAGGAGGAGGAGGAGGAGGGAGGAGGAGGAGAAAGAGGAGGAGGAGGAGGGGGGGACGAGGAGGTGGAGGTAAGGTGGAGGAGGAGGAGGTCAGGGAGGGCTCAAAAATAGCACCAGGACCGCGGCGTCCGCATTTCTGCCGAGGTTTTATTTTAGGCAATCGAGGTAGGTCTGCAGGTCTGGGGGGCCATTCTGTAGCCACCTGGAAGGTCAGGGTCATCCCGCCCCTGCCGTTGCCCATGATCCTCGGGGACGTCTCCGAGGCCGCCGCCAAAACCCTTGACGTGGAGCGCGCGCTTCCCGGACAGAAGGTTCCGCACCGCCTCTGGGGTTTCCAGGACGACGGGCTCCTCTGGGGCGGGCGCGGCGGGGAGGAGAGGGAGGGGGGGAGGGGAAGATGAGCCCTGAGATCCTGGCGTTGCAACGTTTTCGCACCGGGCGTTTTCGACCAGTTTCGGGCCTCAGGACCATCACATATCGATCTGGCTCGAAGAATGCAACAGATTGGGTCTAGGGCTTCGGTCGTGGTTTTCAGCGATGTCGCATTTTTCGCAACGTCGGATCTCAGGGTATGACAAAAGCAACGCAGCACCAACGGTCCAATAAAGTACGGCTGACAGCTGGGTGACGGCCAACGACGCGCCGTGGAAAAAAACTGACATGGTTGTCGAGGAACGCTTTAGGGGCGCCCGCGAGCGTCTGTTGCGGCCGGAGGCGAGGAAGGGGAGGAAGAGGTTGCACCTGGCAGGCTCTGCTCCGCCAGCGGTCTGGCGGAGCTTGGATGGGGTCCCATACAGTCGTCGTGCTGCCATGAGGAACCCTGGAGAAGGAACGAGTGGGGCTGGCTACGACGAGCCTCGGTCACGAACAGAACCCCAGACCCAAGTCTATGGAACGGCCCGACGACGAGCCCCTGCTGAGCTCACAGTGGTCCTCGCTTCGGCGTCCTGGGGGTGTAAGGGCCTGCAGGAGCATGCCTGGAACCGCCCCTCAACTTGGAGCGCCCGCACCAGCGCTGCTGCAGCGCCGACGCGGCGCGAATTTGCCGCAGGAAGATTCAGGGATGCCCGTCGGCCTTCTTCTTGGCTGCCGCCTCCTCGTCGGCCTTCCTCTTGGCCGCCAGCTCCTCGTCGGCCTTCCTCTTGGCCGCCAGCTCCTCGACTGCCTTCAACTGCGCCGCCGCCTCCGCTTCGGCCTTCCTCTTGGCCGCCGCCTCTGCTTCGGCCTTCTTCTTTACTGCCGCCTGGGCGGCCGGGCTGATGTCTTATATCATAGCAAAAGCATTCAGTCCGAAGCTCCAGGAACCCGCGATCAAATCCCATACAGATGCGCCTCGCCTGAGTCTTCCATGGGACCGTCTGGGGAGCCTGGGGGCCCTTCAGAACGGCCTGGGGCAATGAGAGGCCCAGTGAATCCAAGAAACTCGGTACAGCGGAGACACGTGATGATATCAAGATTTTTATGTTTATGGCCTCTGGAAAAAACCTCAGCCATCTGCCTGGTAATATGCTGCTTGCTGCTTACATTGAAGAATGTTCGCCTGCCTGGGTGGCACACAATATCAGTACCCGTTGGCCGGAAGAAGTGGGTAGACACATGAACTAAGATGTGTTAGAAATATATTGGGTTTGCGCCCACCCCTTGAAGAGTAGGGAAGAGGGATCACCGCTAGACTTTGAAGTAAGAAGGCGCCTCAAGTAGAGTGGGATCTGGAGATTCCTACTTCCAACGACCAGCGTGTAGGAAACAAGGCTACGATCGGGATAAATCGCTCCAGAGTGTTCCAGAGCGCTCTCAGAGCGTTCCGGAACGCTCTGGAGCGGCCGCGGCGCCCAGTACATCCTCCAAACCCGCCGATTCTCAGAGATTTCGAGTTGTCCCGATCCGGTTTTGTCCCGGTTTTCGCGTCGTTTTAATGGTATCGGCGGAACAAATGCAAGCTTATACCACCCTTGCTGGAATGAGGTTGGGTGGCCCAAGTTGTCTTGGGGCCGTCCTGGCGGTCTTGGGCCGCGCAGGGCCTCTCTGGGGAGCATGCCGCGGGCTTCCAGGGGCGCGCTCCCGGGAACCAGTAGGGCCTGTGCTTGTCTTCGTGATGTGGCTTACCACCCCCGCAACGTCCGCAGCCCAGCTGGACGCAGTGATATATCAAGACGTGTATCTGGCCATCGCTCGGACGTCCACTCCCTCTGTTTTTTTCGGTTTCGTGCGTGGCTTTTTCGCCAAATGATCAAGGGTGCTCCTCGATGGTCCTCGCCGAGGAAAAAACGCACACGTCCGAGCGATGCCAAGGCATGGCCGCCTGCCTGACAAGATCAGGGAGCCTCAATGAAGCAAGTTCGTCAACGAGGCTCTTTCTTGGTGGTCTCCAAACCAGGTGGTGAGACACCCGGTGGTGACCCCGATTCCCCCCAAAAATAATTCTGGGTCACCACCGGGGTTGGGGACACGCGATCGCCACGAGGTTTTGCGTTCCTTGGGCCAGCCAGTGCTCGAAAACCATTACCCGAATCGCCCAAAACTCACCACCGGGTGTTCTCACCACCACGTTTGGGGACCACCAACTTCCCGGGAGAACTCGGCTCGGGGCTCTCCGGGGGCCCGTCGCAGGCCCACCCGACAGCCCTTCTGCGCTGCCGTGCGGAGCGCGGACAACAAGTGGGCTCTCCTGGCCGCGGCGAGCCTCGGCCACGAGCAGGCCCACCCGACCTACTCTGACGAACCAACAACACACACCCATACCCATAGAGGGGTCGGAGAGGGCTACGGCTGCGTGTTGTCGGATGGGGGTCCCCGCTCGAACGGGAGCGTCCCCCGGGGTCCGACAACCCGCACCCATGCCCATAGCCAGTCCTCCTCCCAACGACCCCCCTGTGGGTATGGGTGTGTGTTGCTCGTTCGTCATAATTAGATCTGAGGAGCGGCCCGAAGTGCCGAGCTCCACGTGAGCCCAGAACGGTGCTCACTTCAGCGTCCTGGCTGCCCCCCGCACCGACGCCGCCCACTGTCCCTCTTCGCCCCGACGCCGCGCACCCCACACCCTGGACCACCCCGCACACCGCACACTTCACGCACCCCAGGCCCCGCACTCGCCCCCACGCGCACCCGCTCACCGTACCGCTTTCCATGGCAGAGGCCCTCTGGATGGGTGCGAGTACCCTGACCCTCCAGGAGGGCAACAACGAGCACCAGGACCTCGACGTCCACATCCCTGCCGAGTTTTCGGGCGGTCTCAGATAGGTCTTTAGGTCTGGAGGGCTCTTTTCTAGCACTCTGGAAGCAGTGCCAGTGAATTGCCGCTGCGTCGCCAGTGCAGTGGCGCTGCGGCGCGATCCTCCGACCCCAATCTGGCTCCGACCCCGTCTGGGAGGCTTAGGCACAGAGGAAGCGAGAGAGAGTAATAAAACAGGGCTAGGATCGGGATAAATCGCTCCAGAGCGTTCCGGAGCGCTCTCAGAGCGTTCCAGAACGCTCTGGAGCGGCCGCGGCGCCCAATACATCCTCCAAACCCGCCGATTCTCAGAGACTTCGAGCTATCCCGATCCGATTTGGTCCCGATCTTCGCGTCGTTTGAGAGTAAGAGAGAGAGAGAGAGAGAGAGAGAAAGAGAGCGATAGAAAAAGAGACGGCCCGGCGGCCTGCCTGCCCGTTTGCCACCAATCCGTCTGGCCCGATGACCGGGACCTGGTGGCCGTCCGGGCGCTGGACAGCCTCGCCGCCGCCGAGCCAAGGGGAGTGTTTGATCGGTGTTTTTGTTGGACCATATATATATATGCAGATATGTACATACATATATATGTATATATATATATATATATATATATATATATGATATATATATATATATATATATACATATCCGGTAACGGTCGCTACCCAGACGGTCGCTACCCAGGGGGGGGAGGGTTTGGGCCCCTCACAAGGCGATTGTTATCGTTAAATTGCCGGGGGGTGGGGGGGAACCCGGGTAGCGACCGCAAAGCGCAAGAGGATCACACGCAATCTCGGAGAGACTCGGGTGCGCCGAAAAGGGGGGGGGCCAAGACCCTGACCTTCCGGGAGGGCAGCAACACCACACCAGAACCCATAACCTTTGCATCTTCAGCGAGCGAAGAACGGTATAAAATAAACTTTTTCGCCGTCGCACCGTAGGGGTATAAACTTTCCAGCCGCCCTGGGGCAGGTGTCCCCGACGGCGAAAAAGTTGATTTTATACCGTTCTTCGCCCGTTAACATCTGAATTCTGGTGTTTCCGCAGGCCAGAGAAGTCTATAGGTCCAGAGGGCTTCGTTTCAGCGCTCTGGAAGGTCAGGGGACCATGGCGGCCACTCGGGGCCCGAGTGTGCCCCCCTCCGCCCGGGTGCGCGCGGCGCTTCGCTGTCGAGGGCCCGGAGCCGCTCTCTCGGCGACGTACCGCCGATTCCAAGTCAACGCTTCCGTCCCTGCTCTGGCATCCTCGCGTCGTGAACAAAAATCACGACGGATTTTGTTGATGCCATTTTCGGACTCCCGGCTCGCCAGGCCCCAGGGCCGTTCAAAAACGGCTTGGGATGAAACGCTGGTCCCAAGGAAGGGGTCCAGACCTCTGGGGAGGCTCGAGAATTGAACTTCGAGGTTCGATGATTTTTTGTCGGCGTTTGTAGCCCTGGCGCAATGAGCACAAATCACAACTGGGGTGGGTGGGCCATTCCTGGGCTCCTGGGGCCCTTGCAGGGGTCCTGAACCGTCAACAGAAACGATCGGGGAAATTCTGACCTGGGTCAATCCAGACCCAGGTCAGTCAGAACCCGCAAAATCCTGCAGGATCCTGCACCTCAGCCCGGGTCAGTGCGCCCCTGGCTCTGCAGGGTCCTTCGAGATCCGGCGCTCTCACTGACCCCCGTTTGCACTGACCCCCGCTGGCCATCGCTCGGGCGTCCATTTCCTTTGTTTTTTTTGTGTCGTGCGTGTTTTTTTCGCCAAATGATCAAGGATGCTCCTCGATTTTCCTCGCCGAAAGAAAAACGCACACGTCCGAGCGATGCCAAGCCCGTCTCTTGAGCCCCGACACGATTCAGGATGAAAGGACCGGTCCCCGGGAAGGGCAGGCGAGCCCAGAATCGAATCGAGAGGTCGAGTCGGCGATCGAAGTGAATCGGATCGGTGGAGATCGGCAGCCGAGGCGGGAGAAGTCGAATCGGCAGAAATCGGCAGTCTACTGGGCGGCCTCCATTTTGAAATCGGAGGGCAAATCGGAATTCGAGGTCGAATCGAATCGGAATCGGAAGCCGTCGACCCGCATCGAATCGAAGCGGAGTCGAGATGAGCCCTGGAAGGGCCCAGGCCTCTGGGGGCCTGCGCTGCGTGACGCGGACGACGCCTGGGGTCTGGGCGCTCCGTGTGGTGCGGTCGAGCCCCGTGGCCTGACTTGAGCGTGGGTTTCGGTCGGGCCTGTCCCCGTACAGGGGGATTTTGGACGAAGAATAAGAATACTCGACAAATATTCAAAAGACTCCTAAAACATACTCAAAAAATCGTCCTCAGACTATTTTTAGACTATTTTTGAATATTCCCCCTGTAGAGGGACAGGCCCGACTTAAGTGTGGGTCGAGGGCACGGGCCTCCTCGCCGAAGGCCCGCGGCCCCAGTGGAGGGGCCCTGGACGGAGAGCACCGCGGGGCGGAGAGCGCCAGCGCGCAGACCAGAAGGGCGCTCCTCCAGAGCCAGGGCTCGCTCTCAACTCGGAGGTTGCCAAAGGTGCCCCTGGCCCAAGGTGCCCCCGGCTTTTCGCTCAATTTGTGAGCTCCTGGGGCCCTCTGGACTTCGTGAGGGGTGCTCTGGAGGCCGCGGGGGCGCTCCTCCAGAGCCAGGTGGATGCGCTTCGAAGACAGTCGCAGTTGGATGCGCTTCGGAGGCACCATCCGCAGATTTTGTAGTGACCAGGGGCTGGGCGAGTGGCAACTTGTTGCTGGGAACGACGACGCATGGCGTAATCTCACGTGCGCTTTTGTGTCTTATTCGGTGAAGTCGCGCTTCGAGGGCTGAGGGTCCCACGTAGAGTCCTGCCCCTTGCGGGCCACTTTGATTGGACTTCCATTCCATTCCTCCAGAGCCAGGGTCCGCTCTCAACCCTCGTGCAGGCGGTGCTCGAAGATTGCATGTAGTCAAAGGCTGCTGAAGACTCGGCAGAGCCCCGCCGACGAGCATGGGGTGCCGGCCCTCAATCGTGTGGGGCGCACGGCAAATTCATGTCGGGACAACGTCGGCGTTGGCTTCTGGAACCGTGTGATCGTCCAACCTTGACCGATCGAAGCTCTCCGATATAACGCAGATTGCGGGTCACTGGCGGCGTTCAACCTTGAACGCCCGCGCTGGGGTCGCCATCGCGCTGCCCAAGCGCGAAACTGCCCCACCTCCATTGGCCGGCTTCTCCTCTACAAATTCTCTTGCAACAACCGGTTGTCCAAGAGTTGCTCACCGTCTCTCGAGAAAGTACACGCGCGTGTGCTCGCACGCGCCCATGGACAAGTCAACGAAGAGGAGGGGGTGGAGGCTGAGGAAGGAGAGGGGCAGGAGGACGAGGTCGCGGGCGAGGGGAAAGAACATGATGAAACATAACTGGAATAATGAAGATGAACGGCATGCACCGGACAGGAATGACGAACAAGCGATCGAAAGGTCGCGACAAAGGCACGAGGATTGACATCGAAGAGTGCGTTGGATCAGAGAAGCAGGCAAGCATATCGATGATCTCAGGCGGGGCGACAAACTCTTTCTCGCCGTCGGGCCCCTCCATCTCCAAGATAAAGCCCGACATCATGCTTTGCCTATCGCAATTCTCAACTACGTTAAGGCCTTTCTGGTTGCCGAACTGCTGTCGCATATACACAACACGCGTGCAACCTCAGGGGATGCGCTCAGCCGCGGCCCAAGATGTCTACTCACGCATGTCGATCCATGCTCACAGATGAATAAGAACATACGTAGATCGTGGCATCCTGCCCTGTCTCATCCCTTCCTCGAAGTACCTGACACCAATGCCTCCGTGAATCAAAGGCGCTGGGCACCTACATCGGCTGAAGAGGCCGCTTTCCGCTCTCGGGTGGGAGGGTCCAGAGGTCTTTCAATAAGCAAAGAGGGAGATACACACATGTGTCAGTCAGCGTGGACCCCGGACGGTGTTGTTGGCAATCGATGTTGTGCAACAGGTGTTGAGCAACATAAGTGGTGCAAGCCATGTGGTGCAACATTTGTGGTGCAATCTATGTGGTGCGATCCATATTATGCCCTCTAAGATGTGTAATACATGTGGTGCGTCAGATGCTGTGCACAACCTGTGTGGTGCAATGTCTGCTGGGCAACCTTTGTGGAGCAATACAGGTGATGCAGGTGCAATATTCGCAATGCAGTCTATGTGGTGCAATATTTGTGCTTCGATTTATGCCGTGTTATGTGGGTGGTGCAATCTGCGTGGTGCAATCTATGGTGTGCATCCACGTTCTATTCGCAGTGGGATGTCAAATCCGCTACTCACGCAATCATCCCCCCCACCTACCCGCAACTAGGTTTGCAACACCCATGTGGCGGCGATTGCGAAGAGTGTTCGGAGTTGGCTGGTGCATCTCTGCGGCCGCGCTAACCCGCGCATGCTCGCGCGCGCAGCGGTCAGCGAATTTGGCGCCGACCGCTGGCCACTTCCCAGCGGGCACTTCAGTGCGAGTCGGTGAATTGGGCGGGCGCGGTATCATGGCAACGCCAGCAACGGTAGACACGATAATGATAGTAGCGATGCTTGTGACGATGGTGACAACGACGAGGGCAAGGCCAGTGATGGCGCCGAAGCTGATCACGCCGACGACGATGATGGCGTCATCGCGTCGGTAATTAAGGTTTGGGAAGGAGTTCGACATGCGCGCGCGGCCGACGCGCGCGAGTGGCCCGCATGGTATCATTTGACGGGGATTGCGCCTCCCCAACACGCGCGCAAGAGCGATCGAATGATTTCCACAGGCGGCGCGAAAGGCCCGCTTGGCCGAATTTGATGGACATGTGGGGGTGCCAAAAGATTCCTTAAGAAGTGGCAAGAGCGCGAATGCAGGCTTTGTTCTGAAAAACAGATGTTGTAAAACTGTGATATGGTGGTTCCCAACCCTCCTGCTTTGTATTCTCGCTTTGCATAGAGCACTGCGGTCGCATACCTTCCTTCCTTCCTTCCTTCCCGCCCCCTCTCCCCTTCTCTCCTGCCTGTCACCTCGCTCCTTCCTGCGTGCGAGCTTGCCTCCTACCTGGCAATTCCTGTGGGGCTGCGATCTGCAAAACCGTCGCCATTTTCGAGGGCTGCTTGGGGGTCCAGCGGAGTGGTGTCCCATGCAGAGTCAAATTAGACGTCGCCATCCCTGGGGGGCTGCGGTCTGCGAAACTGTCGCCACTTTCGAGGGCCACTGGGGTCCAGCGGAATGGTGTCCCGCCGCGGATTCAAATGGGGCTGCGATCTGCGAAACTGTCGCCGCGTTCGAGGGCTGCTGGGGGTTGCAGCGGAGTGGGGTCCGGCGCGGACCCAAATAAGACCTCGCCATCCCTGGGGGGCTGCGATCTGCGAAACTGTCGCCACTTTCGAGGGCTGCTGGGGGTTCCAGCGGAGCGAGGTCCAACGCGGATTCAAACTAGACGTCGCCATCCCTGTGGGGCTGCGATTTGCGAAACAGTCGCCACTTTCGAGAGCTGCTGGGGGGTTCAGCAGAGTGGGGTCCGGCGCGGACCCAAATTAGACATCGCCATCCCTGGGGGGCTGCGATCTGCGAAACTGTCGCCACGTTTAAGGGCTGCTGGGGGTTTCCGCGGAGTGGTGTCCCACGCGGATTCAAATCAGACCTCGCCATCCCTGGGGGGCTGCGATCTGCGAACACGTGGGTTCTGCGGAGCGGGGTCTGGCGCGGACCCAAATTAGAACTCGCCATCCCAGGGGGGCTGCGATCTGCGAAACTGTCGCCGCGTTCGTGGGCTGCTGGAGGTTGCAGCGGAGTGGGGTCCGGTGCAGACCCAAATAAGAACTCGCCATCCCTGGGGGGTCTGCGATCTGCGAAACTGTCGCTGCGTTCGATGGCTGCTGTGGAGCGAATCCGAGGCTGCTGCGACACGCTGGCCAAGGCGGAACACTCTACACACATGGCCTGGGTCCAGATATGGAAGGGCCATCCCCGCGAACTGTTTCGCAGGTTACCATGATTCGCGCTTCGCGCTGCTATCTTCGCCCTCCCACGATGTCTCATTGGAGACATGCACATGGATGCGTTTGTTGATCTCTATCTCACTCTCTCTCCCCCTCCCTCTCTGTCTATGTTATGTTTCTTCTCTCCCTCTCTCTCTCTCTCTCCCTCCTTCTCTCTCTCTCTCGGCATATAGATATAGATGTCTACAGATATACAAGCATGTACACCAACAGACGAAACATGTTCCCTCCCTGTCTCCCTGTCTCTTCCCTTGTCTCTCTCTCTCTCTCTCTATATATGTGTATATATACCATATCGCGACACGCGAAGCGCGACCATCGCCGCGCCCCAGCGACTGACTTAGTTTTGAAACATTCTCTGTGCAATCTGCAGCAAGCCAGTGCCTCACCATGTGCCAGTCCACCTCCCCGTCTGCCTCCGAATCCGAGGTTGGTGGTGATGTCCAACGGCTGCGAGGGACGCAGAACCTGGCACCTCCTCCTTTCCTCCCTCTGATCCTCTCTACGTAGTCTTCCTCTCCCCGCTCACGGTCAAAACCCCGAACTACCTCGAGCGTGTTTCGGCCAGAACTTCTAATTGGGACCGGCCGCGGCGACGCCCACAAGAGAAGAAGCAGGAGGAACATCCCTCTCTTCCGCCACCTCCCCAACACAGAGGCACACCAATCCCAACCCGTGCCCAGGCATCCTCACGAGCTGATTCTCTTCACGACGTAGAGGCCACGGACCTCTCGAGCCCATCCCTCGCACTGCTCTTCCATCGCGGGCGAACTTCTGGTGGCCTCGGGGCCGGAAACGGGCCTCCCGAGGCCCCGACCAATGGAAGCCGCCAGGAAGTGGTTCTCGGGCCGTACCTCGGGCCCCCGACTCCTGGCAGCCCGTTCGGGACGATCGAGGCATCCCCCGGAACGCTCTCGAGGAGAAAAGCAATTCAGGAGGCTGGAGCACCTCAGGAAAAAAAACATCTTATCTGGGGCGGAGGATTGCAGGGTTACCTTTCAGGACGCCGGCGATCTGAGCGCCCCCTCGGGGTGGCCTCTTCATGAGCGACTGGCTCATCGTTCTCTGCCACGTCTCCTCCGCCTCCTCGTCGCTGACCAGCCTCGGCGGCATGACGATGGGCCCGCCGGGCAGAGCGCAGAGCGACGAAGACGGAGGCATCGAGGGATGAAGATGGCTGGTTTGGAAACAACTTCTGGGAGGTCTTCGTACAAACTGCTCCATATTCTTTACGCTTCGCGTATCCCCACCAGCCCATCTCACAGCAGCAACTCTTGCGAAGCATGCCGACAGTCGTGTTTTTCAGGCGTGTGTCCGCTTGGCCCCGCATATCTCCCCTGTTCCTCCTTCCTCCCGCCTCCTTGTACATCCTCCTTGTGGGGGGAGCGGGAGAAGGACGAGGCGGAGGAGGAGAGAGAGAAAGCGCTCCTCGTGATTTGAGTCGTTTGGGGTTTCTCGTCCTGGTGTGAGTCGTTCGGGCCCTTCTTCCTGGTGTGAGTCGTTCGGGCTCTTCGTGGTGTGAGTCGTTCGGGCTCTTCGTCCTGGTGTGAGTCGTTCGGGCTTCTCGTGGTGTGAGTTGTTCGGGCCCCTCATCCTGGTGTGAGTCGTTCGGGCCCCTCCTCCTGGTGTGACTCGTTCGGGCTCCTCGTGGTGTGAGTCGTTCGGGGCCCGCGTCGTGGTGTGAGTCGTTCGGGCTCCTCGTGGTGTGAGTCGTTCGGGCGCCTCGTCCTGGTGTGAGTCGTTCGGGCCCCTCCTTGTGGTGTGAGTCGTTCGGGCTCTTCGTGGTGTGAGTCGTTCGGGCCCCTCGTCCTGGTGTGAGTCGTTCGGGCTCCTCGTGGGGCCTCTTGGGGGCCTCTTGGAGCCTCTTGGGGCCTCTTGGGGGCCTCTTGGGGGCCTCTTGGGGGCCTCTTGGGGGCCTCTTGGGGCCTCTTGGGGCCTCTTGGGGGCCTCATGGGGGCCTCTTGGGGGCCTCTTGGGGCCTCTTGGGGGCCTCTTGGGGGCCTCTTGGAGGCCTCTTGGGAGCCTCCTGGGGGCCTCTTGGGGCCATCTGGGGGCCTCTTGCGACCTCCTCAGAAGCGCAAGTGAGCGCTGCCCCCTGAGAAGGACAAAATGAGCCCAAAACCTTCGTAAAATCAATGATTTTGCTATGAGGGAAGATGAGCGCGGCCCCCTCAGGACGCCAAAATGGGGCCAAAGCCGTAGTTAAATCAGTGATTTCTGCTTCAAAGACGAGCAGAGGGGCCAAACTCCCCCCCCCCCTCGGGGCCAGAATCCTCGTGAGGGTCGTCGTTTTTTGGCCCTCCCAGGAGTCGAAAAAGGCCCCCCTGACCCCACCCCGGACTCCCTGTCCAGGTCCAGGGGGAGTATGGGGGAGGGGTAAACCCCTCCCCGAAGGGGAAGAAGGGGGGTTGAGGAAAGAGAGAGCTCTCTAAACCACTCACGCCCAGAGGGCTGGTGGGATTATCGAACCCGACTAGGAGCCATTCAGTTGGCTTAGCTCAGATGGAGCCCATGATGTGCCCGATTGCGCAAGATTTAACAATATCCAACGGGAATGTGCGAAGATCAACCAACATCGAATCGGAAAATCTGATCGAATCGGATTGTGCGTCGAATCGGACCGCACCGGCACGGAGTCGAAACCGAACCGGATCGGCTGCACAAGGATGCGCAACAACGCAGTGCAAGCGTCGGGCCGCATCTGGTCGACAGGAAGTCAAAATCGAATCGGATCAGGCCGGCCCGAATCCACATCGATCGGATCGGAATGGGCCCATGAACGATGGTTTTCGACCATGGATACACAAGCGCCGATGCTGAATTCAACATATCAGGAGCTCCTTCCTACTAAAGAGGAGGGAGGCGACACAGTCGGTTCAAAAACAAGGGGGAGGGAATGGGAAGTCTTAGTGGTCTCCAAGAAGCTTTAGGAGGTTCTCGTGTCCTGGGGAGAGAGGGTGGGGTGGAACACCATCAGCTGGAGCAAGATAATCCGCCGACCCCTTGTGGGTCTCTAGGCGTGTGAGATTCCTCCCCCCCCATAAGCCCCCCCTTGGGACCCCAAACCGGCAATTCGACTGGGTATCTCCCCCTCCTCGCCCGGTACGACCCACCGCCGAACGCGTCATGGGGGGACAGAGGGCCCCAAAACGAGCCAAGAGGGTACCAAGACGCCTCCCTGACCGTCCAAAAGGGCGACGAATCTCCAAAATTCCTTCCGAGACGCCCAGGATGGCTTCCAGACAGCCCCCGAAACCCCCAAGACGACCCAATAGGCCCCCAACAGGCGTCCCAAGCGAGCCCCAAGAAACAGAAATCGTCCAATTCCCTTCGTAACACGTTCGTTTTTACCATATTGGCCTCTTGCGGTTTCGCAACGTTCGACACGGGCCATGAAACCTTCCAGATCCTCCCAGGACGGCCTCGGCAATTGCCGAGAGAGGTCCAAGAGGGCCCACAAACGGCCCAAGAAACGCCCAAAACGGCACACGAGGGCCTCCAGACCGCTCCAAGACGGAGCCGCGAGGGCAACTTGCTGGTCCTGTGGCTCCGAGATTCCCTCATCCTGCTGCAAAAGCCTCCCAACAAGGTCCCATGGAACCCCAAGCGAGGCCCAAAAGGCCCCCAACAGGCTCCCAGACAACCCCCAAGACGACCATGCACTACCTCCAGGACGCCCTCGTGACGCCTCCAAACCAGGTCGTGACTCCTCCTCCTCCTCCTCCTCATCCTCCTCTTCTTTGACTCCCCTTCCGCCTCTCCCCCATCATCCCCCTGCTCCTCCTCCACCTCCGCTTTTCACCTTCTTTGCAGCTCTATTTTCATTGGCTTCGTCCTCCCTCGCTCCCACCCCCGCTGCTCCTACTTCTTCGGGCCATGGCACGGGCGCCCTGCTAGTATCATTTGCATGCCGTGCATTTCAAGGTGCCGTTCTTCTCGTCACGCGCGACATGGCTCGCGTCTACGGAGAAAGCCGGCTTCGACAATTTCCTCTGGCACTTGCCACTGCACTGAAAAAGCCTGCCAACTGCGCGACGTGAGCCCGCCAAACACCGAACAACACCATCAAAACCTTGAACTCAGTTAAGGGGTCGGCTGATGTGGCGTAAGTCTATAGAATCAAGAGCTGAAGGAGGAGGCACAAGCGTCGCATGCTGACGGGAAGAGATCACGGCAATCGCAGTGCACGTGAATGTGTGCTTGCGATGTGTGTACATATCGGTGTATATGTACATATGTATATATGTTTTGTACATGTGCACATGGGTAATTTGTATACATCTATATGCACTCGTGCGAACAACACATTCACATTGTGCTTGTTTGTGCACGCCACCATTAGAGCGTGAGTGGTCTAACGAGCTCTTCTTCCCCTTCGGGGGGGGGATTCCCCCTCCCCCTCCCCCAATATGGTGTTTATCGATGCAAACACCACAGTGCCGTAGGCATGTAGTGGAATATCCTCAGGTCCCTCAGGGTCCTCTGCACTGAATGTTGCAACTGCTCTTGAAGATACTCCCATTTTCCGCGCGCTCCCACGCCCTCCCAGGAATCCCCGCGTGTCTTTTCCTGAGGCCTCGGAGGCGTGGCTGCGGGCTTCAACCTCCAACATGCCCTGAGAAGACCCTAAGGGACCGATCCTGGACGATCTTGACGGCCTCTTGGGCTGTCTCGGAACCCCTGCGGGACAAGACATCTAAACCGTTGAAACAAATGCTTTGGTGGATAAGTAGTTTTCCAATACTCGGCTTTCTGGTCTTGAGAGCGCCCAAGGCGGCACCAGAGTTACCCCAAGGTCGCCCCAAGATGGCACCCAATAGGCCCAGGGGGCCCCCAAGACGGCCCGAAGAAATGCCTAAAAGGGTAAACACGAGGTGACACGTGGAGCGTTCCACCCGAGGATGTTCCATTAGACCGCCGCCAAGCCACTGAAGAAGTCCCCAAAGGCTCCCAAGAGGCCCCAAGGAGGCCTCAAAGAGGTCCCGGAGACGCCCCAAACAAGCCTCCGAGAGGCCTCCTGAAGGCCTTCCAAGTGACCCCAAGAGCCGTCTCAGAGGCCTTGGTTCCACGACCCAGGAACGGTGGAGGGATGACGAACACCACACACAGCACCACACAACACACACACAGCACACACACACACGACGCACACACAAACACGAACACACACACACACGCACACCCATGTACACACAATACGTACACGCACACAACAAAAACGAACATGCACTCGCACAGGCACACGCAAACGCGACGCACACACGCAATACGCACAAACACACGCACACGCCGCACACGCAACGCGCAATGTACAACGCGCAGACGCGCGGAACGAACAAACGAACAAACGCGCATACGCACCCGCACAAGCACACGCACAACGCACACGCATACGCACACGCACACGCACCCGCACACCCACACGCACCCGCACACCCACACGCGCTCGCGCACGCACTTTCACACAATCGCAGACACATAGGCACACAGACACACAGACACAAGACACACAGACCCACAGACACACAGACACTAAGACGCACAGACACACACACACACACGCAAACACACACACACACGCACACACACAAACACACACACACATGCGCACGCGCACGCGCACGCGCACGGACACGCACACGCACACGCACACACATAAACACGCACACACACACACGCGCACACACACACACACACTCTCACAGGCACAGGCACAAGCACAGGCGCATAGGCATATGCCCGCGCACACGAACGCGCACCCGCACACACGTACACACGCACACGCACACACGCACACGCACACGAACACGCACATACGCACACGCGCACACATATGCGCATACACACACGCACACGCACACACGCACACACGCACGCACGCACACACGCACGCACGCACACACGTACGCACACACACGCACACACACACGCACACAGACGCACACACACGCAGACACACACACGCACACACGCACACACGCACACACGCACACACGCACACACGCACACACGCGCACACACGCACCCACACGTCCACACACGCCAACACACGCACACAGACACACACGCACACACACGCACACACACACACGCACACACACGCACACACGCACACACGCACACACGCACACACGCACACACACTCACACACGCACACACGCACACACGCGCACACGCACACACGCACACACGCACACACGCACACACGCATACACGCACACACGCACACACGCACACACACGCACAACACAACACATAACACACAGACACACAGATATACACACACACTCACATCACAAACAGCACACCCACACAGCACACACACACGCGCGCGCACACGCACTCGCACGCACACGCACACGCACACGCACACGCACACGCACACACATGCACGTACACACACACGCACACTTTTTGGCGGTAGTGGCCTCGCTTGCAACGACGAGGCGGAGTAAGTCGAGCACATGCACACAAGCACCACACAAAGGAGCACACACACAGACACTCATGTCAATGCGCAGATGACAGAACGCATGGCGATGGTCGAAGTATACGGCCGGCCATTCTACTGCCATCGCGGCGAGCAGGAGACGCAGAAATGTGGTGGGTGCGACTGCTCTGTTGAGCAGCGCGGCGCGATCCGGCCCTCCCCCCACCCCCGCACTCCCTCTGCCGCTCGGGTCGGGCGAAAGGGGGGGATAGCAAAGGGGGGGGTTGAGAATCAGCTCACGTAGATGATTTTCCCGGCGCCTCCCGGCGCCGGAGGCGGCTATATATATATATATACACACACATATATGTATATCGAAGAATGGGCCCCTCCGTGGGGCCGAGACCAACTGCATGCAGCAAATTTCGTAACCCCCTTTCCCAATCCCCCCCTTTCGCCCGGCCCGAGCTCGGTGAGAGCACGACGGGCTCGGGGGGCCGAAGGAGGATAGGCGTGAGGAGGAGGAGGAGGAGGAGGAGGAGGGGGAGGAGGAGGAGGGGGAGGAGGAGGAGGAGGAGGAGGGGGAGGAGGAGGAGGAGGAGGAGGAGGAGGAGGAGGAGGAGGAGGAGGAGGAGGAGGAGCGGCCGGCCCGAGCCGCCTCCCTGTATCCCGTCGCGCCGGGGGGGCGCCTCGAGAACGACACCCGGGACATGGTCCTGGGCCACGGCGGGGCGGGGCCGCCGGGCGCCGGCGGGGCGCGGCGGGGAGGGCGAGGGGGCACGCCGGGGCGCTCGGGACAGGCGGAGGGGGGATGGGAGGGCGCGGCTGCCGAGAGACATCTGGCCATCGCTCGGACGTCCATTCCCTGTGTTTTTGTTCGGTTTCGTGCGTGGTTTTTTCGCCAAGTGATCAAGGATGCTCCTCGATGGTCCTCGCCGAGGAAAAAACGCACACGTCCGAGCGATGCCAAGACATCGTCTGGAAGACAGGCGCACCCTCAGGAGTGCGCGCCTCCTCCGGCGCCCACTCGTGGCATTGCGCTCGCGCTTTGCCTTCTCCCTGGCCTCCTCGCTCTCTCTTCCGCGCGCCTGTGGGCATTCTGTGCCAGCCGAGTCCCTATTAGAGCAGCCGATGTTCAGATCTACAGAACTCGGGCCAGAGTAACAGCAGGTTTCGCAAAATCGGCCAGGGTAACCCAGGACCAACGCCATCGCCACAAAACACCAGCTGCAGCGTGACCGACAATCTCCCCGCGCTCACCTTCCTCCTCCTCCTCCTCCTCCTCCTCCTCCAGCTCCTCCCTCCAGCTCCGTCCCTCCTCCTCCCGCCTTCTCCTCCTGCCCTTCCCGCTGCTGCTCCTCCCCCCTCCCTTGAGCAGGGACCGACCGTCCCGGCATTCCTATAGTCCTACCACAAAATGCTCATAGAAACCCAAACATGTTCTAAGAACAAAAACAATGCTCTTATAACATAAACCCGATGTGATAGAACAAGACAGTCCCAACCAGAAATGTTCTAAGAACCTCTCGTGGGAACCACAAAAGGCTCTTGGAACATTGTTTGGTTAGAGGCCTCCTTGATGGGGTCGGAGTAGATGGGGTCGCAGGATCGCGCCGCATCGCTGATACATCGGCGATGCATCGGCGATGCATCGGCGATGCATCGGTGATGCACTGGCGGTGCAGCGTCGACGTCGGCGACGCATCGGCGCCGTCGGCGTGGAGAAAATCAGACTCCGCACCGAGCCGCATCGTTGATGCATCGGCGATGCGGCGCGACTCTTCGAACCCATCTACTCCGACCCCATCTAGGAGCCCTAGATTGTCGGGAGCGGCCAAGAGGGGGGTGTCCAAGAGGGGGGGTGCAAATCATGACCGGCGGCATGTGCGCGGCCCAGCGGGGGGGCCAGGGACGTACTGAAATAAGAAGAGGCGCCATGAAATCTGGGGAATATCATGGCCCACGCCATGATATCCCCCCCCCCTAAACATTACCCCCCTCTTTTTCCGTCCCCGACATCTAGGAGCCCTAGATTGGTAGGGCTGTAGGCACGCCGGGACGCCTCGCCACTGCTCGACTCCCCTCCCTGGCGCCCGCGGCCGCCCGACCGGGCGGCGGCGGCGCCCCGGCCGGGCGGCCGACCGGGCGGCGCTCCGTCGGCGAACGGGCCCCGAAGAGGCCCATGGCCCGTGGGAGGCGCGCGATGTTCCCTCCTCCCTCCCCTCTCCTCCTTCTCCTGCTCACCTCTCCTCCTCCGCTCTCCCCGTCCCCCTCCTCGTCTGGCTCCCCTCCGCCCCCTTCCCCCTCCTCCTCCCATTCCTCCTCTACCTTCCCCCCTCTTCCTCCTCCTACGCCTCCTGCGTCCTGCACCTCGGCGGTGGACAAACCTCCCTTTAGTAAACCTCCCCTTCGTGAAAACGGCCTGGGACCGAAACCGACGGACCTGGAGCCGCAACAATGACGGCCGCGACGCCCCCTCGCGAACCGAGAACGGCCAGTTCCTTGATCGACGTGTCAGGGTAGGAGGTCTATCAACCTCCGATCCTTGGAGGAGCAGCGGGTGGCCCATGGCTTTTGCACGGCCACTCGCGTGGGCTGGCTGTGCACATCGGGCGGGAGGCGTCGGGGCAGGCACGCGAAGGCGCTGAAAGTAGACTGGTAGATGGGTTGACAGTAGATCGAGAGATCGTCGCGAAGTGAAAAGGCGTTGAAAGTAGATAGGTAGATTGGACTTCCGCCCGCCCCCCTGAGGAGGAGGAGCGAGGGAAGAGCGTTCGGCTCTCGAGGTAAGAGGGCGCCTGAAGCAGATTGAGGTCTGGGACTCAAGAAATGCCTACCTTCAACGACCGACGGCCAACCCTTTACAACGTGTGTCCCCAGAGGTCTGGACCCCTTCCTGGGGACGGCCTTTTCATCCAGAGTAGTTTTTTGACGGTCCTGGGGCCTGGCAAAGGCCCCCAGACTGACACTTGCCTACGTAAAACCTTCCGCCGTCTTTTTGTTTTGTTGCGCGACGCGAGGATGTCAGGAAACGCACGCGGCTCCTCGGAGGACCGACGTGTCGTGCATGACTTGCGCGGCCATCCGTCCGGACTGGCTGTAAACACATGTACACCTTTGCACGTGCACTTGCTTGCCGACGCGTCAGCGCCTCGTGGGAGGACACAACAAGAGCAGCGTGCAAGGAAATGTAAGCCGCATGCTGAGGGCCAAGGGCGGGGGGTGCGCTCGCTTTCAGCAGCTATGAGGGCGTTTTGCTAATACTTCTGCTGACACCCCCAAGTGAACGCCTCCCAAATGGGGTCCGAGTGGATGGCGTCGGAGGATCGCGCCGCATCGCCGATGCATCGTTGATGTATCGGCGACGTCGGCGGTGCATCGGCGCCGTCCGACAACCCCGGCACGGTGACGGGGTTGGCCGAAGGCCGTTAGAAGCACACACATGTATAGACACAGTGAATTTTGCTGTGGGATGGATTTACCAAACATGTGTCAATCTCGAATGAGAGAGGGGGAACAATACATGCAAATGCATATCTATCTATCTATTCATCTATATATCTATGTGTATATACATATATACATATATATATACATATATATACATATATATATATACATCTATGTATACAACATGAATGATATCCCCAAAGACTGATTGCACTTTGGGGCACCCTTTACTCAAATATTCGGGATCGTAAGGATCCGCGGGAGGGGAGCTAGGCTCCTGGCGCGCCCAGATCGAGGCCGACGCCGGGAGCCCCCGGGCCGAGAGGCAGGGATGCAGGGGTCGCGGGGCATTCCCTCGGGGAGTTCTTCACAGGCAAACAAACAAACAAAGCAACACACACGTCAGACACGGCTGTGCCCGACAAGCTGGAGCAGAGCGTGTCGGCGGTGGACGAACCTCCCTTTAGCGAACCTCCCCTCAAAGAGCACGGCCTGGGGCCGAAACCGACGGACCTGGACCCGCAAAACTGACGGCCGCGACGCCCTCTCGCGAACCGAAAACTGCCAATTCCTCAATCGACGTGTCAGGGTAGGAGGTCTGTCCACCCCCGATCGGGGAGTTGTTCACAAACAAACAAACCAAGCAATACACGTCAGACAGGGCCGTGCCCGACAAGCTGGAGCAGAGCGTGTCTTCGTTTCGGGTTCCCCTTTGCCGCTCCAATGTGCATGCGGGACGAATCCATCACGATCCCATCGGCTGTGGTAGTCGCTTCTGCGACTCTTGGCCCCGACACAATGCAGACCGCATGCACGGAATTCAGATCCTCGCCGTGCCCCGCCCGACATCCCCAACCATCATCTGCGGTCTCTTGTGGGCATCCCCAGAAAACACCCCTGGGAGTACCCTCAACGAGCCCGCCAGCTCCAGGTCCCTCCTGGATGGGGCCCGCATCGCCGAGGCATCGGCCCGTCGGCAGGGAGAAAAACAGGCCCCACAGCGAGCCGCAGCGCAAAGGTACCGGCGATACGGCGCGATCCTCCTGGGAGGCCCGGGAATGGGCACCAACACCAGCACAGGGGTCTGCCTCCACAGGGGGGAGGTGATCCTCGATTTCGGTGCTGGTGGTAATATTTCGGCCACCTTGGAAGCCAGAATATTACCACCATCACCGAGATCGGTCCTCCTCCTCCTCCTCCTCCTCCTCCTCCTCCTCCTGATCGTCCTTCCTCGGTGGATGCACACCGCCGATCTTGGTGTGGTGCCAACCTCCAGGCCTGCGACCTCCGACCCCACCTGCTCGGACCCCACCTGGGAGGCCCTGCAGCTCACGCTGAACACGAAACACCCGCTCGGAACTCTGGTGCCGTCGAGATCTGGCTCCCCCCGCGCCTCCCGCCGCCGCACGTCTGCGCACCGCATCGGACGGCATCTGGTCCAGCTCGAGCACAGGGAGGCCTGGAAATGGGCACCGACACCAAGACGGAGGGCTGCCTCCACAAGGGGGGAGGTGATCCTAGATTTCGGTGATGGTGGTGATATTTCGGCCACCTTGGAAGCCAGAATATTTCCACCATCACCGAGATCGGGATCTTCTTCCCTCGGTGGAGGCACACCGCCGAAATTGGTGTTGGCGTCAATATCTACGCCTGCGATAGAAGCTCACGCTGAACACGAAACACCGCCTGGAACTCCGGTGCCGTCGTGATCTGGCTCCCCCGCGCCTCCCGCCGCCGCACGTCTGCGCACCGCACCGGACGGAACCTGGTCCAGCTCAATGAAGGGGCCCCAGGACACACAAATAAATACACACAAATAACAACATCCCACATATTTTCACATATTTTCTGGGTTTCTGTCTTCCCCCACTTCCCATATTTTCCCATATTTTCTGGGGGATCGACGATTAATTGTGTCTGTGTTTTTCCCCCCCGACTCAAGCACAAATCGGTCGAGATCCGGTGCTATTGTGATCCCGGCTCCGCCGATCACCCGAGTAGGAGACCGCCTGCAGAATTCACTCCTCCCGGAAAACTGCTTACTTTTTCGCCGAGATTACCACAGACGCATCTAATCTGTTGCACATCTGCGAACATCCTGCGCACTTGTCGCAAATGCACCACCTCGCCATCGCTCGGACGTCCATTCCCTGTGCTTTTTTCGGTTTCGTGCGTTTTTTTTTTTGTTCGCCAAATGATCAAGGATGCTCCTAGACTGTCCTCGCCGAAGGAAGAATGCACACGTCCGAGCGACGCCAAGCCGTATTTTCTGATACATCGGTCGATCTCCTACTCGAGACGCGGTCGGGATGCGGTGCTCTCCCGCTCCCGGCTCCGCCCGATCGCGGGCGCCGCGCCTCCCGCCTCCGTACGTCGGGGGGGGATCCGCGCGTACTTGCGCTTCCGCGCTTCCCCCCTTCCTCCTCCTCCTCCTCCTCCTCCTCCTCCTCCTCCTCCTCCTCCTCCTCCTCCTCCTCCTCCTCCTCCTCCTCCCCCCCTCCCCCTCCTCCTCGTGGAACGCTCCCAAGCCATCGCCCAGAGACCGCCTCCCAAAAGCAAAATACCCGACGGCGTGGGGAGGAACAACACTGCTGCTCCTCTCGGGAGCGGCCAAGAGGGGGGTGTTCAAGAGGGGGGGTGCAAATCATGACCGGCGGCATGTGCGCGGCCCAGCGGGGGGGCCAGGGACGTAATGAAACAAGAAGAGGCGCCATGAAATCTGGGGAAATATCATGGCACCCGCCATGATATCCACCCCCGCCTAGTCATCAACCCCCTCTTTTCCGCCCCCGAGTGCCGTCATTGCAATGCTACTGTGGCGCGCTGGCATTGTCGTCCTGCAGCCTCCACCTGCTTTTGTTCCTTCTTCGTCCTCCTCGCATGGAAAAACATCCGCCTCCGTGCTGCTGGGCACGGAGTGGGCGTGTCCTGAGGGCCCCTGCCTAATCCCTGGAGCATCAGTCCTATCCCTAGGAATCTCCGAGGGTTCCGGACCCCAAACTCTCGATTTTAACGGGGCTTCCCGCGTGTCCCCTTGGTTCTGGCGAGCCGAGGGCCCGAAGACAGGCCAAGAGGGCTCCAAGAGGCCCCCAAGACGGTCCCAGAGGGCCGCGGGTCGCCGCAAGATCGTTCCAAGACGCCCAAGATGGCCTCAAGATGGCCCAAGAGGCATCCAAGACGCCCCGAGGGGCGTCCAAGAGGACTCCCAAGAGGGCCCTAAGAGGTAAACATCGTTGATCTTCCAATGGTTTTTGTAGGATTTTGGCGTTCTCGCCTTTTCGGCATTCCGACGCTCCACAATGGCCCAAGAGACCCTCAAGACCACCCCAAAACTACCCAAGAGGCCTCCATGAGGGCCTCAAGACGGCCCCAGAGGGCCCCAAGACGGCCCCAAAAGGGGCCAAGAGAGGGAACCTGAACCGAAAGTCTGAGCCTTCCGCCCCAAGAGGCCCCCAGGAGGCCCCAAGAGGTGCCCAGGAGGCCCCGAGAGGCGCTCGAGATGCCCCCAAGAGGCCCCCAAGAGGCTCCCAAAACGGCCCCCAAGAGGCCGCCAAACTGTCTCCAAGAGTTCCTCGAGAGGCCCCCCACGAGATCCCCACGAAACTTTATAACCCAGGCACGGTGGCGGGATGGGCCGAAGGCGGTCAGCATGAACATGAGGAAACTGAAACGTGTCTCCAAGAGGAGCCCTTGGAGCAATGCTGGTGCTGGTTGTGCGTCGGCGTTGCGCTTCAGCTCCGAGGGTTGGTCCATATCCGTCCTTCGCCAAACTAATTTTTTGTTTGTATATATACATATAAAAAACTTTTAAAAAGCCAACATAGGTTTGTCAGCATGGTGGATCGGCTTTGTGGTGCCCACATCCTGCCCGTCCCTGAGAGCCGAGGGCACCCAAACGCCAACCCTGGTCAGGCCAACGCTGGGCTTCCCGTCCTGGCTGGGAGGGCGCAGTACGTGCACGGGTCATGGGCCTCATCAGGATTGGCCTGGTCATAATCGGTGTCTTTTTATGGTTGGTGCCCCCCGACGTCTCCATCTCATCTCGTCTGACTGACAGCGAGGGCAACGCAATCTCGAGAACTCCCACCAAGGCGTCTTGCAAAAGCCCCCCCCCCCAGCTGAAACTCCTCTGCATGTCGAACTCCATCGACATCCTCCTCTGCGCGATTGTCTCTAGGTGATCCTGGGACGGGGCAACAGCACGCGCAGATCTACATCCGTCACCGTGCCCCCCTGGCACGTTGAGGCATGGTATACTGCCAAATGCTGTCGAACTGTCTGGAACAACTTTTGAACATCTTCTAACTGACCTGCCATTCTCGTAACAGACTTCCGTGTGCACCCCCCTCCTGAGGCCGCGATCCCTCGTAGTAAGGTGCGTCTCCGCGCTCACGAGGCCACGATCCCTCGTAAAAAATGGGCCCACGCTCCCGAAGCCACACTCCTTCGTAAGGAAACGATGGAGCCGCGCTCCCCAATTCCCAAGACGGCCGAGGCATGCAACCGAGGCCGCCAAGATGGTTCAGTCTGCCTCCAAGACGGCCCGAGATGGCATGGCCCCGAGGCTGTCCAAGACGGCCTCACGACGGCCACAGGCCCGCAATACCGCCCGAGCGCGCCCTAAGAGGAAAACAAGCAGGGCTTGCAGAGTCACACAGCCATTGATTCCCCTTGCGTTTTCCAAGGTGTGGGTGTGTGTATGTGTGATTGCGTGTGTGTGGGTGTTGTCATGTTTTCGGGCTTCTTGCAATTCCAGACGGCGCTAGAAGTCTCCAAACTTGCCCCAAGATGTCCCAAGAAGGTCTGCTAATCCTCCAAAACGCTTCAAAACGGCCCAAGAGGGCCCCTGGACAGCCCAGAACGGCCCCAAGAGAACCGCAAGCTGGCCCGAGAGGGCCTCCGGAAAGACCCACCACTGCCTTAGACAGCCCCTCGACGGCCCAAAGACGGCTCCACGACGGCCACGAACGACCCCCCAGACGGCCCAGAAGGCCCCAACACGGCCCAAGAGAGCCCAGATGCCTTCTAACATGGCCCAAGGGACCCCCTAAGACTTGCCAACAGGAGCCCAACAGACAACGGACAAAAAGGAAGGATTACGACGAAGACGAGAAGATACCCCCCGATGCGACGCGGAAGAATGTTTCTCATGTCATGGCTCTCCCCAACCTCGGGATACGAGGTGTCACACGTTACGGCCTCCTCTGCGTTCCTCGAAGAGTCGCCACCCGAGGAGCTGGGCTGGCACGGCACTTGCCGCAGGCAGCTGGATCCACAGATCTGTAAATCTCCATGTTTTGTGTACCTGAATGCAAACGTGCATGTCCCTCCACCCGTCTACTCATACTTCTGTGTGGTGATGTCCAAGCCTACCGTGCGTCACCACAACGATGGCCGAACAGGGCCATGTATAATGTAAAAAAGGGATCCCTCATTTTCCGCCAGCTCTCAGGATAGTGCAGTCATCGTGCCACTAAGGAAGCCTGAACAAGGAACGACGGGGATCTTTCTGGTTACAACAGGCTTTGGCCACGAACAGCTTCCCCGACCCAGATCTGAGGAACGCCCCCGAAACGCGAGCTTCTCCCTAGCCCTGGCCCAAGATGGTCATTGTTTCCGCGTCTGGACTGCAGTATCGGCGGTGGACAAACTTCCCTTTAGTAGACCTCCTCTTCGTGAAAACGGCCTGGGACCGAAACCGACGGACCTGGACCCTCAAAAACGACGGCCGCGACGCCCCCTCGCGAACCGAGAACGGCCAATTCTTTCATCGACGTGTCAGGGTAGGAGGTCTGTCCATCCCCGGCAGTAGCCATCGGTCGGAAGAAGTAGGTAGAAGCATGAAGTAGGAAGGCGTTGGGAATAGATTGGGCTTCCGCCCGCCTCCCGAAGAGGAGGGAAGAGGGAGAACCACTCGACTCTTGAAGAGGAAGGCGCCGAAAGTAGATTGGAACCTGGGAATCCACAAATACCTACTTCCAACGACCGATGGGTAGCCTGCAGCGGCTCCACGTGCGAGCGTGCGCGCAGAGACAGCAAGCGGCGAGGACGCACGGGGGATCGGCGCGAGGGGAGCCTTTTTCTCCGAGGTCGGCCCCCGTGCCCGCACGCGGCGGGCGTGTCAAGGCGCCTGCGAGCTGCCTGGTCGGATGTGTGCAACTCTTCGGGAAGTCGGGGGCGCGCCCAGGCCAGAGGAGACAGGCCCCCAGGGCCACAAAGCGCCAAACGGATGGCCCAGGGCGCCCTTTTTCTTTCTTTCTAGCTCATGAGGACCAGATCCGAAGGAGAGCACTGGCAACGCGAAATCGAAGCGAAAAAGCGTAGCACTCTTAACTGCCCACGGGGTTGTTCCCTGAGGAGGCTTAAACTACGAAGCCGACGTAAACTGCTAAAAGATACGATCCACTCTCGGCCAGATGCCGCACGGACCCTGCCAGCACAAGCCCGATGCACGCAGCACCCCGAAGGCTCGGCTAGCCTAAGGTACGTGGACCCTTGCCTTTGCTGGGACCTCTACCTCTCGAGCGACCATGCTTTCCTTTCCCCCCTCCTCGCGGCCTCCTAGGGATATTTACTGTCGGAGGGCCGTCCAAAAAATTCGGGGGATCAAAAACTGCCTGCTGTGCATTCGAGCTTTGAGTGAGAGGAGGAGCCGAAGACGAGGACGGAAGGGAGGAGGAAGCAGGGGGAAGAACAAAGCCTCTTGACCTCAGCTCAGCCAGGCGCGAACTCGTCTGTAGGTCTCTCGGGAGCCCTTCTACCTCTTCGAGTGCTCGTCGACATATTTGCTGAGGATCCTCTCGAGCGGGCCGCGCGGCGGGGCGCCAACCAGCCTCTTTCCACCCTCGAACTCCACGAGCTGGACGAGCCACCTCTGCACCTCCGTGTAGTGGCTGTGGCGTGGGTCCGCGTACCACATCAGTGTGCACATCGGTGTGGAGCCCTCCTCCTTCTTGTGTACTTTCACCCTGAAGTGCGTGATCAGTTGGCCGACCGCGTTCGGACCGTCGAACTTGCTCAGCACCTCGTTGAAGAACTGCAGCATCTCCTCGCTCAGCTTGGCTTCCTCCTTTTGCGTTGAACCTGCCGACGCCGTCCTCGTAGCTCCGTATCCGAATGCTGCCATGAATATCTGGACGTGCGCCGCGCCCCTCGACTTGTGATCCTGCTTCTCGCCTGCCTTTTCCTTTGCCTTTAGGGCCGCCGAGTCGTCGTTGTACTTCTTGCCTGCTTGCTGGCTGACCGCCACCACTCCCACTGCCACTGGTAGCTCGTATTTCGTGTACAGCAGGGCGCCGAGGTCGGCGATGTCCTTCGTGTTGGTCAGCACCAGCTTCACCATGGGCAGCATGATGTCGTCCTTGCCGCCTTTGTGCTTCTTCTTGTCCCTGGCCGCGACCTCGCCCTTTTCCTCCTGTTCGTCTGGTTTGCGCCCGCCTCCAGCGGTGATGGACTGGCTGCACCACGACGGCATGACGAGCTTCGGTTCCTGATCCATCCCCTCTGGCATACCTGCTGGCTGGTTGGCTCTCTGGGGTCGGTCCAATACTGCCTGGCAAGTGGTTCGACACGAGATGGCTGCAAAGATCATCGAGGGTGCCGCCTTCGTATTCACAGCATAAACATTGTAGTGATCTGGGCATTTTGAGAGGAAGGAGGGTGCGTGCTGCTTCTCTTTGGCAGTGCCCACGTTTGAGTGCGCGCGATAAATGCTGTGCTGCTGTTCTCTGCGACGCGAATGTTTGACGACAGCTGATACAAATATTCGTCGGAGTGATAACGAAGTAGAGGTTACGAACATGATGTGCCGACTTTATGTGTGATAAATACGCTGGCCTCGTAAGAAAAATGGCCCCGCATTCAACCCCATTTTTACTATGCCTGCATATGAAGCCTTCCGATGGGTCCCGCTCATGTGGCGGAACGACAACTGGTGACGAAGCCCGCTCTTGGAATCCTGGTGGCGGGATCCGCCTGCCGAACTCTCGGCTCCTCAGCTCCGTGAAATCAATCTTACAGAAATCCTCCATCGCTTCCTTGTCAGCGAAGAGGGCTAGATTCAAAGCAATCGGCTCGATCATGCAATCTGGCAATAACTCTGCTGCTTGGTCCAAGTCCGCGGCCATTTGCTGCAGCCACGGCGAGGCGTATTGGGATGGACGTCCTGCGCAAAGCTGCGGCCTAGTGTCGAACTGAAACTCCCCGAAAAGAGCAACTAGCACCTGGGTATGGTGCTCAGGACGTCGACCCCACGTCTGATAAAGCTTTAGGCGCCTAATCCTCATCTCCTGGTTACAGGGAAGTATTTTCCAGAACCATAGGATTTCTTTATTAGTGAGGCTCGTGATATGCTCCCCCTCATAGTTAGCCGCTTTCCCACCCATTGCTGCTCTCCCCAATCGGCTTAAACGCGAGTCCAGGATGTCATAGTCGAATTTAGACAGCGGGAAACTCTCCAAACCAGATAGCAAAGCGTTTTGAACAAACCCGATGAATAAGCATCTCCTCCACCTCCTCGCTAGTCCCGTTAGCTTCCACATTCCACTAAGAGAGTGAAAACCAGTACGTGCAGCAGCGCATCTACGAACAACTTCGTTCCTAGCCGAGTCCCGCATGGTAATGAATGGCCCCAGGTAACGAGCTTCCTCCCGTACAGCTCCCTTCAACACAAGATCACCCGCTCGGATTCTGGCACGTCCGAGATGACCCCGTTGGGCAAAGTGTACGAGAAACTCCTGCTTGCTGGCATTCTGCGCATACCCATGCATGGAAAGGGCCTCGTCTAGGTCCCTGTCCACTTGCACTAACTTGTCCAAAAAGGAAGATAACGAATCTCCTGGATCAGCAATAACGAGCTTGTTCAAATCATCTGCGTATTTCTGAAGTGAAGTATCTACCTTCCATCCCTTCCATTCCCCCACCAATAGCTTCGATCTGGTATCCCATGTCCTCAATTCCCTCCCCCACGTAAGAATCGGGAAGTTAAAGGCGCCCACAAAGGCAGAGACAATAAACGGGTCGCCCATACAGCCACCTTGTCGGGGCCTGACTAAAAGTGGGCCTTCTGCTGCTTCAAATCGAATCAGGCTCTGCCGAAAGCGCTGCTTACAGATCTGATAATCCTCTGGCTTCGCATGAAGCTCAACAACTTGGTCCAATGTGTTGTGGTGTGTACTGCCGAAT